AACCATTCTGAATGAGAGAGTAAAATTGATCGATCACTGTAGATTGGTCACCCACCAATCGCAGATAAACAGCAACCTAACCGAGTTTGTTGGGATTGCGGATAGCACTGGGTTACAGCCTTACAATTGAACAGGAAATAAAAGTTTTTATTGTGACATCATAATTTGAATGTAACGCAGAGCGAAATCCAGGTAAATAGAGTTAATCCATCTTTGTTTTTTGTTTTTCTTGGGCAACTGGAGAAAGCAAAATATTTCCTTTTACAACAGCACTCACAAATGGTGATCCATGTCTCCGTTACATTTTGGCTGGATTACTGTCATGCACTTTATTTTGGAGTCAACCAGTCCTCCTTCAAGCATCTCCAGGTGGTCCAAAACGCTGCTACTCGCCTCCTAAATGGAGCTCGAAAGAACTCCAATTCTGGCCTTCCTTCACAGGTTCCCTGTTGACTTTAGAGTTCATTTTAAGATTGTTTTGATATCGTAAAATGGTCTCAACCCATCTTACCTCTCACCCCTGCGCACCTACCTGGTGCCTCACGTCAGTGGACCGGATGCTTCGGGAGGTACCGCTAAGAGTTAGGCAAGATCGGCAAGATCCTTCTATGTCCAACTCGTCTATAAACTCTATATCTATTTTTACTCTTTGGCTTTTGGCTCAGCACGTGTTTTATTGTATTTACTGTCCTCATGTTATTAGTTTGTTCCAATTGTCTTCGTTTTTATATGTCTTCTCTCTATTATTATTATTATTATTATTATTATTATTATTATACTTCTGTCTGTTATCTGTCTACTTTACTTACAGAATGTTGTATGCACCAATGGTTGTTTTGAAAGTGCTCTAAATAAAGTTGACTACACACGCATTGAGTGGGAATGGGAGCTCCATACCTGTGAAGGAAACCGGTATACAAGCTCTTTCATAAGAGCTGCTTGAACATCTTGCTTTCAGGGAGTATAAAACACCAGCACAACAGAAAGCAGATTTCAGTGTTTTAATGACATCTCAAGAAATGAACGTTGAGGAGAACGGCCTTGAAATTCTCCGTGATTGGGTTAAATCACACCCTTGGACAATCAAGTGAAAGTTGCATTTGCCCACCATGCATCTTTTGAGGGCGTGGAATCGCAAACTTCGGGCTGGTCAAGTCAGGGGCTCAGAAATTGTCCTGCAAGGAAGTAAACAAAAGTCATGCCTCGACATGTCGTTGAACATCTGTTGGTCTTGAGTGACCCCTACAGGTTAATGGGGGTAAAACAACCTTAGTACAAACGTCTTTGTTTCCAAATGCACTGGTCCAAATCAGTAAAAATTCCACTTATTCTATTTGATTAGCATGGTAACAACGTTAAACATTGTAACGTATGAGCACGGTACAGTAATATGTTTGTCTAGAGGGTCAATTTACGAAGTGTTGCTTTCGCGATGAACACACGTCATGTTGTTGTCTGGCTCCCATCTCGACAAAATGAGCAAATAGCTGCTAATACTATTTGGTAGCGACACGTCGTGAAAGATACGTTCTGCCCCATCATAGCACGTTGTTGCATACTGCAAATATTCAGTTTGTATGTTCTTGGAATTTGATGCTTAGCACCATACACCAGGATGGCCGAGTGGTTAAGGCGTTGGACTTAAGATCCAATGGACATATGTCCGCGTGGGTTCGAACCCCACTCCTGGTAGTTCAATTTTGATTAGAATTTCAATAGTCAATGCGTAAACTTACTGTGAAATGGGACGAGCCAATTATTCAACAAATGTCATTTAATCGCTGTGTAGAATTCGCCGGTCCGCAGAACTGGTTAATTGTGTGGGTTTCGAGGCGTCCCATAATGCTAAACTAGGGAACACGATTGGTCGTCGTTTTCAACAATTATTCAGGTAATCATCATGCAAACAAATCATGATAGCCACTGTTTAGATAACAGTAATGAGCAATCATGTCGTCTTGTGTTGCGATGGGTAAAAGTAATGCTGAATCGTTGTACTTTTTCAAAAATCTTTATTGAACAAGACAAATTACAAAACACAGAAAACAAAATGCACACGTTATTAATACATGTACATAATAAAGAGAGATAAGCAAAACGAATAGCCAGGCGATTAAAAAAAATTCAAACAAAGAGTATGGAGACATAGTCTTAACGGATTTGATTCGTTCTACTTCCGCATTCAAGGCGCCTGTCCGTCATTTCTAATTTGCCATTGGTCAGATAAGGAAAGGGAAACGAATAAGCCATGCCGATTGGTCCAGTTTACCAGAAAGGCTCCGACTTTGGAAAATGGCTTCACATGAGTTAAAAAAGGGCAAAATGAGTTTATCAATAGAATCATTGGTTTATCTTTTATTCTTGTTCAGTTTCGTTGTATTTTAACTTACTTTTTCCCTACTTCCGCATTCAGAGCTACGTCCGTCCTTTCTCATTTGCCATTGGTCAGGTCAGATAAGGAAAGGAAACAAATAAACCACGCCGATTGGTCCAAATTACTCGCAAGTTTCCGACTTTAGAAAATGCCTTTACAGTCGTAAAAAAAAATGGGCAAAAATGATTTTATCAATATAATCATTGGTTTACTTTTATTCGTGTTTAGTTTCGTTGTATTTTAACTTGCTTTTGTTTTACTTCCGCATTCAGAGCAGCGTCCGTCATTTCTCATTTGCCATTGGTCAGATAAGGAAAATGTAAACGAATAAATCACGCCGATTGGTCAAAGTTACTAGAAAGGTTCCGACTTTAGGAAATTACTTCACAGGAGAGAAAAAAGGCCCAAAATGGTTTATTAATCGAATCAGTAGTTTATATTTTATTTGTGTTTCGTTTCCTTTTATTTTAACTTGCGTTTTCCCTACTTCCGCATTCAGAGCACGCGCCCGACCTTTCTTATTTGCTATTGGTCAGATAAGGAAAGGGGGAAACGAATAAAGCACGCCGATTGGTCCAAGTTATCAGCAAGTTTCCGATTTTAGAAATGCCTTCACAGGAGTAAAAAAGGGGGGAAATGAGTTTTTAAATAGACGATCCAGAAACAAGGGCAAATGCTGCATACTCGCATTTTGGCACTGGGTGCGGAGAGCACAAAGATGGCGGAAAGGGAAGGGCCCAACTCGGCTTCGAGCCGCATCGCTTGCATGCAGTTTGACTCGCTCATCCTTGCCTTCCAAGCCGCCATGGGGACCTACAACCAGGCGGAAGAACTGCAGCGTTCGATTAGTAGGGAGCGAATCCAGCGGCAGGCCTCCATATTAGGGACGAAAATCACTGACGAGAAACTCAATGAAATTGTCGACAAAGGATTCGAAGGCTGGAACGAGTTGTCGCAGAGTCTGCCGACTCAAGAGGGTCATTCCTCTCGCTGGGCAATGACCGAAATCAAAGACCGGCATATGGAACTGGTGGAACTGGAGGCCCGGCTCAGGGAAGTCCATGAACTGTTCGAGGATATGGCGAAGCTGACGGAAGAGCAGTGCTCCATGCTGGATAATATCGAAGCCAATGTGTCAAACACTCAACACTATATTCAGAAAGTCAATGTGGCGATCACAACAGCGATAAAGTACAAGAAAAGAAATCCCTTTTTGCAATGTTGCCCATGTCTACCCTGTTGTAGACAATAAAGTAGAACAATGAAAACTATTCATATACAGTGATGCTTTATATGAGCCATTGATTGGCCACCTTTGTGAGATTTGAGAGGGGTAAAAAAATTGAGAAACACAATTTCTGGATATTTTCACAGTCTGAATATCCATTGGACATTATTCTAGTCACTATGGCACTGGTATCGTAACAGGAGTTGAACCATTCTGAATGAGAGAGTAAAATTCATTTCTAATTTGCCATTGGTCAGATAAGGAAAGGGAAACGAATAAGCCATGCCGATTGGTCCAGTTTACCAGAAAGGCTCCGACTTTGGAAAATGGCTTCACATGAGTTAAAAAAGGGCAAAATGAGTTTATCAATAGAATCATTGGTTTATCTTTTATTCTTGTTCAGTTTCGTTGTATTTTAACTTACTTTTTCCCTACTTCCGCATTCAGAGCTACGTCCGTCCTTTCTCATTTGCCATTGGTCAGGTCAGATAAGGAAAGGAAACAAATAAACCACGCCGATTGGTCCAAATTACTCGCAAGTTTCCGACTTTAGAAAATGCCTTTACAGTCGTAAAAAAAAATGGGCAAAAATGATTTTATCAATATAATCATTGGTTTACTTTTATTCGTGTTTAGTTTCGTTGTATTTTAACTTGCTTTTGTTTTACTTCCGCATTCAGAGCAGCGTCCGTCATTTCTCATTTGCCATTGGTCAGATAAGGAAAATGTAAACGAATAAATCACGCCGATTGGTCAAAGTTACTAGAAAGGTTCCGACTTTAGGAAATTACTTCACAGGAGAGAAAAAAGGCCCAAAATGGTTTATTAATCGAATCAGTAGTTTATATTTTATTTGTGTTTCGTTTCCTTTTATTTTAACTTGCGTTTTCCCTACTTCCGCATTCAGAGCACGCGCCCGACCTTTCTTATTTGCTATTGGTCAGATAAGGAAAGGGGGAAACGAATAAAGCACGCCGATTGGTCCAAGTTATCAGCAAGTTTCCGATTTTAGAAATGCCTTCACAGGAGTAAAAAAGGGGGGAAATGAGTTTTTAAATAGACTCAATAGTTAATTTTTATTCGTGTTTAGTTGCGTTGTATTTTAACTTGCTTTTCCACTACTTCCGCATTCAGACCACGCGTCCGTCCGCTCTCATTTGCCATTGGTCAGAGAAGCAAAGGTAAAGGAATAAACCACGCCGATTGGTCCAAATTACAGGTAAATATTTTGTTGCTTATTTATTTACTTATATCTTTCATTGTTATTCCCAAATAAAACGTTCAAATCAAATCAAATGTGCCTTCACACAAGGAAATAATGCCTAGTTGTTCAGGCCTCAGGAATTACAAGTCTGATCCTGAGCTGGAAATCGAACTCAGAACATCGGAACTGCGAGGCAGCATAACCGCTAGACCACCCACCATGCTACCTACCCTCTCCGTTTCCAGCTAATGCAAAATCAGCCACCTCTGAGAACGATCAGCTTGAATCAAAATCATCATTAATAGTGGACTCGTGTGTGTGTGTGTGTGTGTGTGTGTGTGTGTGCGTGTGTTCGTGTGTGTGCGTGCGTGCGTGCGCGCAGTGAACTGAGGTGCCTCTGTCTGAACGAGCCGCCTGCAGCCAACATCCTCCAGAAGCCTGAATGGTTACCTTCTTCCACCAGACGTAAATTGGCAAATCGCAACATCGTTGAAAAATTGGTTGTATCATTCCGAATTGACGGAGTGCAAATATTCCGTTTCACGTCTACGAGCAAGGGAACAAACTTACATAGTGGACGGCGCAGTGTAACAGTGTGGAAAAATGAGTTAACAAATCTTAACAATAAATGCTCCGGCCTAAAAAAATGCAAGCTCATTGCTGCTAATTTTCTCAACGTCTATTTGAACCGGATTGGACATTTAATTGCTTTATTTTCCCCACTCAAAATTCTGAAATGTTAAGTTTCAGGGGTCAGTCTCTTCACTCTAATTTGTAATCAAAATGGAACAAGTAACCAAAGCATCGATTAGACATTTAATTGTTTTTCCTCCTTTCCCTCCATTGTTAGTTTACACAAATAAATAGACTTTATTGTGGTTTAGAAGGTTGAAGTGTGGACCAAAGACCACAATTCCCTTCTGGAAAGACTAACCATGAGTCTTGTGGCGTTTTAATTGGCACAGACAGCAAAATGACATCTGTGCATTTGAAGTGACCATTGTATATTACCAGTAAATGCAACAGACTACCAAGTTGGATACATTTAAGATAAAAATAGATATTTATGGACTATAACAGATCTGCTTTTCAAAACCAATGGCAAAACCGAACAATGAAATCACAGGAAAGAAAGCTATTCTGAAAAAATATAAAGAAAGATACGCTCAAATAAAATAAAATCAGCGAAGGGACATACCCCATCCCAAAACCAAAATCCAGCGTTCTTGTCTTTGAATTTATTATTTTTTTTTTTTACAGCACCTTAATCTTGTCCACAAAGAGTGGAAATGGGATAGGGACAGGAAAACCCAAAAGGCTTTCCTGTTTGGCAACTAGCAAGTGACGCCCTGAAAGCAAAACAAGAGAAGTAAATGGATTACAAGGCAGCCAGCAGGGATGAAATCACAATATTTGGAAATTGACATCATTTTTTAGATCATTTTTTCCAGTATTCCTGCTGGGTCTCTGGGGGAGGTGTGAAGCAGGAAAGAGAGAGAGAGAGGTAGGGAGACTGGAGAGAGAGTGGGAATATTTAGTTTGCTTCTTCCAGAAGTTTGGGGGTTGAAAATGGGACCCGTCGCCAGGTCGCTCGCTCTGCTGTTTTGTTTGTGTTCTCTGGGCTGCTGTCTTCCTGCCGGGACGCCGCAACCAACACAGGTCAGGATTTTATTGTAGTGAGGTTTTGAACGCATCAAGTCAACATAATGTAACTCTGTCTGTACAGTTATTTGTTGTTCAAATTGTGTTGAAAAGTGAAAGTCAGTGCACTCAAGGAGGAGTTTTGCCTGAATGATCTACCCACTCCCAGAAGCAATGACATCATTAATGGATAACATTGGGAATGGTTACACCTTTCCCCCTCCCCGAGTTGGGCAGAAGTGACTAAAAGAATCATTTTGTCTCATTTTAATTGTATTATTTATAGTTCATTTAGCTCGTAAATCATTTTAAGGCAATGTAATGTCAATATTTCTTTTTTGTTTTGGGTGTGTATCAGGAATCTCTTCCAGATGTGAAAAAGTCCAGAGGAGATGTTCCCGACATCCTTCCGACATCGGAAGTGGAGCCGACAAACGCTGCATCCGACTTTGAAACCTCCTACAACTACGTTTGTGCGTCTGCATCCCAATTATTTTATTGATTCATTTATTTTTAAATTGTTGAACATTTTATAATTTGCCCCACCATGAAAGTTTCTTCACAGAGTAACATTGTGCCATCTTCATCCACAGTGTCCAGACTGGCTGGGATGGACCAGGCCATTCACAAGCTCAATGTGGGCCACTACACCCTGGATGTTAGCATGGACCAACTAATTGAGCGTCTATCCAGGATGGATGGTACCAAGTCACGCTAATGCTAACCGGTGTCACTTCCTGGTTCCACTGATGTTTTCTCTTCGTTCACCAACACGGCAGCCAAGGTGGCAGAGATGGAGGACAAAATCCGCGAAGTCTTCCAACACAGCAAAGACAATCGCAAAGAGACTGGAAGACTAGAAGGTTGGCTTCTTTTTACACCATTTCAGACAATTTGCTAGATTTTATATGGAACACACGAGCTCTAGGAACATTTTGAGGAGCATATTAGACAAATTTAGTGATCAGGGCAGAAAGAAGACCCTGCTAGGGGGGTGGAGTACTTTTGAGAGGTCCAGGAACCTTTTAGTTCCAGGAACTAATGGCTAAATGTACCTGCCCTGCTAGCTATGGCTAATCAGACAATAAAAATTAATGTAACAGGTGCTCAATACAAAATGGCTGAGATAATAATACCAACATCTGAATTTTTTTCTCCGATAATCAGGTTGCCAGAGGGGCCTGCGTGTGGGGTACAAATGCTACCTTGTGTACCACAACTATGTGGACTATGCAGGCGCTTCCAGGAAGTGCCTAGAACGCGGGGGTCGCATGGCCATGCCGCGAGACCGCCGCGAGCAGGAGGCGCTGGCCGACTACGTCAAGTCTTTCTACCAACCAGGCAATTGGCCCGTTTGGCTTGGCGTCAACGACCTGGCGACTGAGGGCGTGTACATGTTTGACGACGGCACGCCCGTCTCCTACTTCCAGTGGCGCAGGCACTTCCTGTCCGGCCAGCCGGACGGGGGCAAGCGTGAGAACTGCGTGGCTATGGCGTCAGATGACGGTGACTGGTGGGACCACTACTGCGACAGGGCCATGAACTACATGTGCGAGTTTGATGACAGGGTAGCGCTTTAGATGAAACCATAGCTCTGCATTTGAACTCCAGGCTGTAGACAAAATGGCCGTCGCCAAGGTGAAAGCTCCATGGGCCTTTACCTACAAACTCAGCAGCGCACACAATTAAACCCACTTTAAACCCACGTTAGTCTTCTCTTATTGTTAACTGGATAGCTGTAGTTAAGTAGCTAACGATACATAGCTGGCTAATTGAGGTCAAGCTAGCTGCACTTGTAGTGGCTACACTAGCAATACTGAGCTTAACTAACTTTAGTTAAGAGAATGTACACACACACACACACACACACACACACACACACACACACACACACACACACACACACACACACACACACACACACACAAAGACGATCACACCTCACCACCTGCAATAATAAAGCACACACCCCAAATTTATTTGTGACACCAGGCCAAAGCAGGTTTAATAGAGACATTAATACATCAAACAAGCTTAGGACAATAAGTTCCGTGACATGATGCTAAAAATTGACCGAGCGCCTATTCGGTGAGGCCCTCACAGAGCATCCATGGTAGAAAGGGTTCCGTCAGTCGTCCATGCAAAAAATGATCATACCATGCTTTTGTCATTGAGTGTAACGCAACAAGGCTCACAGATGGGTATCTTTGTCAATTGGGGAATACTAATACATTTTTTTTGCACACAAATGCCAAAGTTGTCCAAGTAGTTTGCAGAAATATGAAAGTAGTGCAAGATACTACCAGAGAAAACGTGACTTGCAACATGCAGTTGTTCTGCTAGTGCGCTGAATTGTCTTACTCGCGAGAACAAATAGCACCAGAACACGGGCCTCGAGGCTTTATCCAGGATATTGAATAAATGCTCAAACAAGCTTTCCATAGGCGTGTTATTTGAGCCATCTGGTTTGTGTAACTGAGCTGTGGAGGAAGCATCCACAAGGGGGCCTTGACAACCAAGAAGTTGGAGGCCTGCCAGACTGCTGGACGATCAACATCCCTACTTTATTCACAAAGCTGCAGAAATTCTCCCCATGGATCTATAATTTATTTCATTCTCATTTTAACGATGTAGACTTTTGCACATGCACTAAGTGGAGTGCAACCCCCCCCC